ACTGCTTAGAGATCTTGGCATCTGAGTGAGATCTGCAGTAAGATTCAAATATCGAAGATGTCTCAAATTTTTAATAGCCTCAGACGTCTTTTTCTGCCATCGACAGTGTATAAACAATAAACGAATGCTTCTTGATTCCTTAAAAATGTCAGTAAGCATTTCAGTAAAATATTGAACATGTATTTGACTTGTTAAAAAAAGTGAATGTAGGGATTTAACATCTTTGATCATTCTCAACACTTCGAGATTTTCAGTTTCAACAAATAAGTGCCGAATAGTTTTAGGAAGTCTAAAAGATGAAACATTATCTCCCACAAATCTATAACATTCTTCTGAAGAAATAGACTGTGCCAAATCATGTAATAAATCATGCATCTTATAGTATACTCTCTCGTCATCCTGAAACTCGACAAAGAAAGATTTTCTGACCAAATCATCAAAATACCTTCCTCCATTATCTTCCAAAGTCTCTCCTTCAATAGAAGATTCCTGAATGAAACCCAATGCAATCCACATTCGGACTAAATCATCTTTATCAAACTCATGATCTTGTGGGAATATGCCGCAAAATGCAAGACAATTTTGTAGAGGTTGTGGGAGGAAAGTAAAACTCAAACTTAAGATAGGCAAAATGTTATTGCAACCCGGTTCTGGTTCTACTTTTAGAACATTACTTTCTAAAATTTCCATCCAAAAGCTCTCATTCAAGTTAGAATTGAGAACACCTCCAATGACCTTTGCTGCCAGTGGAGAGCCTGAAAGCTTTTTAACTATTGAACTAGCAATGTCTGTTAATTTTTTATGAGCACCAAGGTTCTCTACACCGGCAAATGCATGGGTGTTGAGTAGCTTCAAACACACATGTTCCTCCAAGCCCTTTATTCTCAAAGTTTTCATCTTCGTTTTAATAACCTTTGCAATTGCCGATGCAACTGTATCCATTCGAGTAGTTATCAAAATCTTACTTCCGAAACTTCCACGAGTCAGAGGGGAGAGTACATTCTCCCATTTGCTCATATCTTCCTCCCAAATGTCATCCAGAACAAGCAAGAATTTTTTGAATTGCACCTCAAATTTAAGACTCTCTTGAAAAGCAGCGAGTGAATCCAAACGAGGCCTCTCCTTCTTAAGACATTCCAACATATCGGCAATCACCTTTTTTGCATCAAAGTCGTTGGAAACACAAACCCACATTTTCAGTTCAAATTTTTCTTTAAGATCTTCATAGATGTGTTGTAAAAGAGTTGTCTTGCCCATGCCACCATGGCCCACTATGGATAGAAGAGAAATATTTTTGTACAAAGTATGATTTGGATCTTTATTTGTTGGCTTCCTTAACCACTGCATAACAAAATCCTTCTCCTTGCGTCGACCGATGAGATCATTTTTAGGCAAGCATCCTGTTTCACGATCTCTGTACAACTTGAGCTCCAGCTCCTGCTGCTCTTGCTTTGCGTTTTCGATGAGATGAAGGAAAGTACTGACCTCATCTGAAACTTTATCAAGTTTCTTCACAGCTGCCTCCAGTCTCTCCAAGTTGGGATCAATTTTGAGAGGCCGTTCGTTGCCTTTACGATTTTTAGAAAAAATTCCAGAAAAAAAGCCAGTGCCTGCAGAACGCACCTTTGTTTTCTCCGTGTTTCGTCTGATCTGCTCCTGTTGTTCTTCTTCAAGCTTCATGTACTCAAAGTCATCAAGAACATCATCTGCCTCATCGATGGCATCTCGTACCTGCCACATCCATCTGTTGAGAGCCGGGTTGCGATCTGTGATCTGTGCTCGGGTATAAGCAGAGACGACAGCTTGGATCTTGAGGTGGTTCTCTCGAAGCCTTTCGAGCTCCTCCTTCATGCCTGTCTGCCGTCTATGTTGATCGTGCAGGTTATCAAAGGAAGTGTTGATGATCTTATCCAAGATCGTGTTGATGATCTTATCCAAGATCTTGCCAACAAACCAGTCTGCCATGACACAATCAAGGTTAAGAGGCGGAGAGACGGTGGAAGAGATGAAGTGAAGAGGAGGGTCAGGAGGACGGAAGTGGGTGGCTTTGCTACGAAGGATGCGTAAAGTATTATAAGTTAAAGAAGGTGTGGTTTCCACCGCGGCTTCCTGCTGACTCTCGTTGACGGAAATTCAGCGTTTGATGGATGTGTGGCGGGAGGAAGGGATAGAGGGTGATGCATACTACAAAATAACATTCAGGTTCATAATAAGTTATCAAAGAGAATAAAAATGGAGCAAACAGATATGAAATAAGTAATTCATAATCAACTCTGCAAAGAGAAAAATACCATTAATAGTCCAAATATCAGATAATGGTCTTGTCAAGTGGCAACCTGCAAAGTTGTTTTTGTGTTACCGCAATGTCATTTCAACTAAGGTTAGAAAAGTGTATAAAAGCAATTGAACATTTAGGATCTTAGGGTTTTAAAATTTTGAAGTTTTTGGGCTATTAAAATATAAATTTTGAAAGCTTATAATATTAAGATTTGAGTTTTTAAATTTTAGCTCATGAATCTAAAAATATGTTGAATTTGAGCTATTCGGACTTAGGATCTTAGGATAGAAGCATAATTCAAATATTGAGTTTTCATGACACTTGAGATTGACAGTCACCAGATTCACAACGTGTCTGCTAGCGAACAGAAAGCAGTAAAATGATTTAAATGAGAGCTTATGTGCAAGCTATTTGATTTAACTCATGCATTAAAATCATATAAATTATCTTAAGACACCAAATGCTCCACCTAAAATAACTCAAACACATGAAAGTTAAACACTCGAATGTGCTCCAACCAATGCGTTGAATACTCAACTAATGGGTTCGAGAATGCTGCACGGGTTAATCGGGTCGCCTTGTTTATAGGGCAGGGTTGTAAGTCCCATCCCACTATTTTGTTCCTCCTCCTCGCAAGGACTAGAATTGACGAGTCTAGTAAGTCTGAAATAAGAGTTTATAAGTCCAAATCACCCCCATCTATTCCGATCATCCTTCTTGCAAGGGCTATAATTGATAAATTTAGTAATTTTGAAATTGTTGAGAAATTAGGGCAAAGAAAAACAAGAATCGACACAAATCCAGAAGAACACAGAGATTTGCGAGGTTTGGCAAAGATGCCTACATCCTCGGGAGCAGAGCGACGACATCCTTTTCAATATTTCCTTTTCAATATTTCAATATTCAAAAAAGAGTACAAGGTACAAAATACAAGATTCAGAATCTCAGAGACTCACATAGGGTTACAAATACTCATAGGGTTACACATCATATATATATATATAGATAAAACTAAGATAAAATTACTAAGACACCCTCGCTCCCCCCAACCAACTAAATTCCAAAAGACACCTCTTAAATTCCAAGAGATATTTCTCTTCATTCCAGGAGACACACCTCTTCAATTCCAAGAGACTCTAAATTCTGTCATATGAGTCATACCTAACAAATCTCCATCTTGGTGAATATCTAGTCCCTTAAGAGAAATACATATGTCCAACAAATCTCCACCTTGGCGAATATTCAGCCATACCTAACAAATGAAGTATGTCTGACCACAGGAGAAAATATTTCATCATGAATATCTAGCTCCTTAGGAGAAAATACATCATGGAGTTTCTTATGCACCAATGTGGGTTGGGCCACCACGCTTCCGCTGTTTCTGCTGCGCCCACGCTGATCTCAACTCACTAAATTCTAAGAGACACACCTCTTCAATTCCAAGAGACATCTCTTCATTCCAAGAGACTCCAAATTCTGGTATTATGAGTCATACCTAACAATTCTCCACCTTGGCGAATATCCTCCACCTTGCGAATATCCAATCCCTCAAGAGAAAAATCTCCACCTTGCGAATATCCAACCCCTTAGAAGAAATATCTCCACATTGCGAATATCCTGCCCCTTAGGAGAAAATCTTCTTCTTGTTAATATCTGGCCCCTTAGGAGAAATATATTATGGAGTTTCTTATGCACAAATGTGGTTTAAAACACTTTTCCTGTTCGCACCAACACCTCGGCTAAACTGTTGTTCCATGAGCGAAACCCTTCGTGAAATACCTCTGCGAAATCACTGTTCGCAAATAATCGTGCCTGCTCGCTCGCCAGCACCCTACCGAACTACACCTGTCGCAACTCCTCCTGCGACAAACTTGTAAACTCCGCTGGTCGAACACCACAAAACTCCTCTATTCGCAAACGCTCCTATTTGTTGTAACTGCACACGAACTCATGTTCGCTAACTCCACCTCGCCTAATGCCGCAAAGATTCATGAACTATCGCGCCTTGAAGTCGCGACGCTGCCTCTACCGCAAACTCCCCGAAGCATAACTCGCTGAACTGCCACAGCCCTTTATCCGAACTGCTTCGCACTTGTTCATTCCCGCGAGCCCATCTGTCTTGCGAACAATCCGCAAAATTTTATATTCTGCTGCGCCGTAGCCAAGATTTCCTTTCTCCAGCCAAGGAAATTCAGAAAATACTTCCAAATTTTTTTCTCCACAAGATTCTTTGTTGAACCAGAAATTGTACTTTGATTCTGCCACAAATCCTTTTAAATAATCCCTTAATTAAGATTCCTAAAAAAAAAAACCTTTGATTGCTAAAAAAAAACCATATTTTTACCTATATGTATGACGAACTACAAACTTCAAATGATATAACATGGTCGTCCACTTATCAATTCCCTGTACCGGGCTAATAATTGCCCTCCTAAGATTGTCTTGTTGGAAAATTCTAGTTAGACGTCAAACTTTATGCACGTGGATGACCGGTGGTTGCCTATGAAGTCCTTCGTGAATGATAATTCTGAGCATACCCCGACCTGAATGCTTATGGTTTTTCTCAATTTTCCGTATGTTTCCTACGAGTTTCTTTGAGTTTTCATGGGTCACTTGTGATTTTTTTCGGGTTTTCCGTGTGTTTCCTATAGTTTTCTTTGAGTTTTCTTGGGTTATTCGTGATTTACTTCGAGTTTTTATTATTTATATATAAATGCATGTTTGACTCACTTGCTAAATTCTATAATATACTTGTCTACTTTTACCTGCGGCACTAATCTCTTTTGCAGGAGCAACAGACATGCCAGACACACAAGTTTATTTTATACATACTGCATTTTACCGTACATTTTACTACTTTTTTTTACTGCTCTTTGTACTGTTTTCTTTTACTGCACTTTTTTGTAACATAACTTGTTTATGCATGCTTTAATTTAACTGGAAGGTCTTCAAGATAGAGAACAATAGTTGGTTTACCTAGGGTGGATCATTGTTAAACACTAAACTTGAAATTGCTACGACATGATACTTGGAGCGAACTTCGTGGGCAGCACGACAAAGAAGTAGCGAACGAAGGATGATGATCTGCAACAGCAAAAACAAGTCTACATCAATTAAACATTTTTCTTAGTTTAAATAACAAATCATAGGACTACGAGGTGGTTTGCCTAGCGCAACATAAATCCTCACATTGTCTTTTAGGTTTTTGCATAATCCTGTTGTGTAATATAAGTCCCAACTCTTTTTAGGATCTGAGGTTGATGTTCGGTAAAACGTAAAGCCTCTTATCTTTGTCGGATATTTGAATAATTTGAGTATCATGCAAGTGTAAGCCCTAAATAATAAAAAATAGCAGGAGTGAATATTTAAATAACATCATATCTAAATGTTAAGCCAAACAGTAGGATAGTTTGGGAAGTCATTAAGGTTTTCCTCGGATCCGTGATATCCCCTATCTTTCACTCTTTTGACTAGTAAAAATAATTGTTCCTACTTAAGTCATTCCCACTTGATTTTTCATGTTCAATCTTAAAAAACCTAAACGTTGAATTCTTGAAGGCAAAGACCACTGCTCATCATCAAGAGGGTCCTTAAATTACTTCGGTAATTTAGGATGTAATTAACTGTATGGGCTCACCCTTATAGCGAACTTAGAACCCAGATAATATAAACTCTGTCCAATCATTATATTAGGTAGGGGAACTTGTGGTCACACTAAAAGGTTTGCAGATGAAATGGATGTCATAAATTCTTTAGTTAAGTAATATGTCTATTCTTTGGGATAGGTGCATTGTTTGTAGTGTTGTGCTCAGTTACTTAAATTATTAAAATGTATGAAATGTTTTAGCCTCATTTTTTTTCAAATTAAAATATTTTTCTTAAAATTATATATATTAAATTAAAAATTATTATTCAAAATTAATGTAACTGACCCAAAGTGCTGACCGACAATAATTTGGTTATTCAAATTATCTCTAAGCCCCCTTAAACATTTGTAGTACTTCGTCTCTAGAGTACTAACTAACTATAGAGCATATCTCGCTAAACTACATTAAGCTCATACTCCCTTATACCACCAGTCTTAAGAAAGACTCTTACATCTATTATCTGGTCGATTTAAGCACAACCCAATCTCTAAAGTTATTAGTAAATTGCTTCCAAGAATTATCAACATTTAGCTTGCCTTGAAATTTATCCCTCTGCTAGCCTAGCCACCCGCGCTTAACTTCACCATCAAGTGGAAACATTGTTAGGGGTCCCTTACCATTGTTTGGATATTACATGTTATTTAAGGACTTCTCTATTCTCAAAAGCCAATTTGGATGTTGCTGCGTTTGCGGATCTTGAGATAGGAGATGAAAAAAAAATGCCAATACTCGATTCACATAGAGAGATTCGTGAAGTTATCAACGTTTTCAGACATCTCCATAATAGCTAGGAGAAGCTCTGTCTTTGAAACAGGAATGTACTTCTGTCTCGGCACGTGAATTCCAAAAGTTCCTCTCTTTCCTACCTTGATCATCTTCAGCACCAAAGTTTCTTTGTACCTTACTATCCTTCTCCACCTCCGAACCCTTCACTTCTCCGGAGAAAGTATTCCTGTTGAATCGATACCTTAAAAGATTCATAAATGCTTTTCAGGAGAAGAGAGACAATAGAGACGATGAAGCGCGACACGTGGAGTAGAAGGTCAGGTATTTCTGGTGACCTAAGATGCCCGCGCTGCCGCCGCTGAGGGCTTTGAAGGAGATCATGGCTCCGGCGAGCAGGAGTGAAAGAGCTCCGTCGCTGGTTTGGATTTGGAACGAGTGACCATAAATAAAGGCATAATTACATTCAGACCACTTGAA